GGCAGAGGAGTGCCCTGAGAGTGAAGGGGCGCTCCGCGGTCGCTGCAGCAGCAGAATGATGGGTCAGACTTCAGCGAGGTGTCCCTGTGCAGTGGGGGAGTGAGTTCACTTTTGTAATCTGAGCTGACAGAGCCCTTGATTCTGTAGACCTTGGGCAGGTCATTTATCCTCTGAGGATCCCATTTTCTCCTCTCTAAAATGTGCCTAAAAGTCCCTAACTTGGTGATTGTGAGATTTGGATGAGCTGGGAGTTATTACCCAGCTCCTCTGGAGATTTCTTCCTGCTGGGCAGCCAACGCCTATGGGCTCCTCTTATTTCAAGCTTGTTTGGTTGTTTGTGGCTGCCCTGGTGCCCCTTGGTCCCGCTACCAGCCACAGGAATCTCCTCTGCTGGGAAAAGTCTCTGAGCTGTAAGGGTGGTCCTGGGGCCATGGGGATGGTGCCACTAAGTTCTGTCACATTTCCATGGCTGCCATAACAGGTGGCCACACTTCCTGAGGTGAGACAGTGCGTATTGATTCCCACAGTTTTGGAGGTCAGAGATCTTAAGGGTCAGCAGGGCTGCCATCCTTCCGGAGGCTGCAGGGGAGAATCTGTTCCTTCACTTTTTTTGAGTCTGGAGGCTGCCTGCCCCGCGTGGCTCCAGGCCACACCCTTCAACTTCAGTCTGCAGAGTGCTGCGGAGATCTTCCGGTTTCTCTCCCTCTGTTTCCCTCATTACATCTCCTTCTCTGACTCTGATCTTCCTGATTACTTTGGACCTGGGTAATGCAGGGTCCTTCCCCATCTCAGGGTTCCTAATCGAATCACATGGAGAATCCCGTGTGCCATATCTGGTGTGTAAGCAGCATCTGGGGGGCTAGGGTGTGGGCATCCTTGGAGAGGCTGTAAACAACAGAGCGTGCGTACTCCCTCTGGCACTCCTTCTGCCCAGCCTTTTGAAGTGGCTACTGGGCAGAGGCATGATGATGATTCTGTCCTTGGTCCTAACCTTGAAGAGCACTGAGACATTCTGTGGCCCTCGTGAGTCTCATTTCTTCACCAGTGAAGTGAGGAGGGCTTGCCTGAGGGCATGGCTCCAGTGTAAGAGCCTGGACTGTTGGGAGTCATCAGGGCTCAAAAAAAATTTCCCCATCCCCCAGAAGAGC